CAGCCATGAAGTCAACACAAAAGGCGGGGCTAATATTTAAACAATGAATTTTGAACTTTTAATCAAACCACTGCATTGCATAAGGACATATTTTCAATGTCAATGTTAGAAAACCGGTTGTACAACATTGCATCACTCAGGTGCCAGATCATGATGCTAGAAAAAGTCGATCAGCTCGAAAAATTTATGTCCCTTGCAAGGGTCCACCCAAAAAAGGCTGCGGTCGGCAATTTTTTTCTAGGGCGGTCGGGAAACAGGAAACACAACATTTTATTTCTTGCGCCTTATAGCTGGATAAGCGACGGAGATAAATTGTACTCTATTGCGGCAGCGTAAAAAGGCTCTTAGCACATCCATACATGTAGCTGATTTTTACTGACTATGCAGACACTGTGAATGGGTATATGGATATGTGGCGCACTGCGTTATCATTTTTGTTATTTGATTTATGTATTTTTGTATTTATTTCTTCTCTATATGAAGCGCTGTTAAAATATGTTAGTTACTTAAATACGGCGCCATATTTTTCCTTCTCTTGCATGGTCCAAATGAAGACTTCTGGTAAAGAAAAAAAGGTTGTCACAGAAGCGGTGGATTGCTAATTTTAAACAAGACTGGAGTTGCATGTGCAGTCGCGAATTCTGTGTTGGAAATTACAGTTCAAGCTTGTTTCATAATAACACAGATAAACTTTCAAGATAAAAGGGATACGAACCCCATTGACCAGAATTTATATCGGTAACATTTGGGATGGCAGCTTCCCCTATATGTATTTCGTGCCTCCATATTTTTTGTAGCCGGCTTGTTCTCAATATACATGTAATACATGCATGCCCGAGGGCTAATTGCAGTTACAATCAACATAAGAAAGAAAATACAATGGTGTGTGAGACTATATCTACGTCTAGCATTATACTATATTCTACAACATACATGGTACTAGTTTTACTGGGTTTGACTTCTTCTTTTTAGGCAATGGAAGAAGAATTTACCCACTTCTTCTATAATATGTGGGTTCTTTATGAGCATTTTGGACACGGTGGTAAATAATTTTTTTTCTGATCACCATAAAATGGGCAATTAGAGATGAAATGAATTTCGTCTCCCACTGCGTTTGAGGAGCAATATTTACAAATTCTCTCCGACACAGGTAGTTTCATATATCGCCCTTTTTCGATTTCCAAGGAGTGGGCACTGATTCTAATTTTACTCTATTATGATGTTACCCGTAGTTTGAATTGCTGTAGCTGGATAGGCGACAGTGATAAATTGCACCCCATCGCTCCAGCATCAAAAAGCTGTAGTACATTATAACTGATTTCAAAAGGCTTTAGTCCGCCTGTAGCCGATTTTACTGAGTGTGTCGTGATGCAGGAATAAAATGGATAAGGCAGTGCTCGAAATTAAAGGTGGTCCAATGGCCAATGACCACTAAAATTTAAAATTTGGGACAACTAAAAAGACACGTTTGGACATTTTTGGGGACAATAGAAAAATAACCAACATTAGAATATTAATGTCAGCCCCTCTTTGGTTTATCAGTCCCCCCGATTGTCCTGTCTACACTGCAATTATAGTGCGCCTGGGAAGGAACATAAGCAAAATAAAGTCACACAGTACTTCCTAAAACAGGCTGGGACAGTTCATTCTCACTTTGGGACAATCGAACTTCATTTTGTGGACAGTGCTGGGACAATAGGAAGAAAAGTTAATTTCGATGCCTGTATGTGCCCCAGTACTTTCTCAGTTTTGTATATATCATATTATTTTGTATATGTATACCACGTGAAGTGAAGTGCCCGATATTCTGTCTCCTTGTCCAATTGCAAGTCAATAAAAAATATAATATATAATGATGACGACTATAAAATATGGATATTCAGTTATAATGCATAATGTGGCTACGGGAGCCAATGGACACTTATTTGTTTTTTGTAATAAAAAAAGGCAAAAAGTAAATAAATAAAAATATATTCCTATCTATATTGCCAGTTCTCTTTTCCTGGGATTTTCTTTCTACATAAAAGGGCTCTCATTGGAGATGTAGGAAATAAAAGATCTTTCTTGTCTATTTTGTGCTGCCGTCTTCTTGTGAATGATAAATTAACCAATGTACTCTAAACATCAAACGGCTTTGGTACTGCTGCAACTGATATAACTGACCGTTTCATGATCTGGTTTCGAGGAAAAATCTTTCGTGTCCGTTTCGTGAGGTCGTTTTGTTATGCACGATCGATAAAAATTCTTTCTACTTTCAACATCAAAAGTACTGCTGCAAATGATAATGCTGACTTTTGACTTGTAGCTTCGAAAAAAATATCTTCGTGTCTATTTCATGTGCCCGTCTGGTTGAATGATGATGATTCATTGTACTCTCTACTTCAAAGGACTGCTCCAGAGCTGCAACTGGTGTTAGACTGTTTCAATATGTAGTTTGGAGAAAATATCTTTCGTGTCTATTTTATGTGGCCGCCTGGTTGTGCATGAATGATAAAGATTCGTGTGCTCTACTTCAAAGGGCTCTAATACAGCTGCAACTGGTGTTACTGTTTCGAGATGTAGTGAATGATCTTTCGTGTCTAGTTTGTACCGTTGTCTGTGTCACATTAATGATAAAGATTCACTGTACTCTCAACATCAAAGGGCTCTGGTACTCTAATACTACTGCAACTGGTGGCACAGACTGGTTCAGTAGGTACTATTGAGAAATATATTTCGTGTCTATTTTATGCGGTTGTCTTTGGCACAGTAATGATAAAGATCCATTGTACACTCAACATCAGAGGCTAGGGCTCTATGACTGCAGCAACCGGTGAAACATCTTGTTCTGAGTAAATGATAAAGAAGCATTGAACTCTCTACTTCAAAGAAACTGCTACTGCTGCAACCGATATTACAGACTGTTTGGAGATGTACTTTCGAGGAAAGATCTTTCGGGTTTATTTTATTTGGTTGTCTCTCGGCAAATGACAAAGATTCGTTGCACTCTCTACATATCAAAGAGCTCCACTACAGGAGCTTCTGGTGTTACTGCCTGTTTCAATATGTAGTTTGGAGAAAAGATCGTTCGTGTCATTATGAAGCAAGTTTAAACTGCAATTTCCAACACAACAAACTGGACTCACCCAAATTTCCAACTGTACAACTCCAGTCTTTGTCAAGGAATTGCAGTTTAAACTTGCTTCATAATGATTTCTACCAACACAGATGAACTTGCAAGATAAGATCTTTCGTGTCAATTTTGTTCCGTGGTCTTGTTTGACATGATTGATGATTCAATTGTTTAAACTGCCCCTTTGGTCTCCTGAGCCAAAATGAGATGAGGTCGTCTATACTTCACACTAAGGAACCTTATTGAGTCTGAAAACTGAACTAGCTAATGGTTGATAGAGAATGCTGGAAGTGTAAACTTGTAGAAGCTACTGTATCTGTATCTGTATAGCCGGTATAACCGCCTTTCGGCGTAAGACACCAGCTTCGCATGCACGCGGCGCGGCGGCAGCTGGCTATATTACACCGATCGACTTGTTACACCTAACCCTTGAACTTCTAGCTCTAGACATTGTTTAAAGCTATCTATTGACCATGCCCCTACTGTACTTGGTGACAGTGAGTTTAACTCTGTGATAGTTCTAGGAAAGAATGAATTCTTGAACACCTCAATCCTTGTTGATAACTCTGGTACTTGAAGGCGTGGCTAGTTCTATAGATGCAACAGTAATACATGTCTATTTCTAAGTCTCCTAGGAAAGAAAGTCTAACCCAGGGGCAGCGTGCTGCGAATTGGAATGGCAGAAACCCTTAAAGCAAACGCTCCTGCGATATTAACTCATCATTCATCCTTTTTTCATATAAAGCCTCTCCTAAACACGAGTTCAACAGCTAATTCCAACATCTACGTGACGCCCATTCATACAGCGCGAACGAAATGAGAAGCTAATATGTCATAACTCATTGGTAAGAGCTTCGGGGCTTTTGAGCATTTGTCTCATCTGTAATTATACTTTTACTCATCTGCAAGGCGTTAGGAGCCTTCACTCCCTGCACATAAAGTCTACGACAATATATTAGGCTCACCTTTAAGAAATCTGACTGAGAGACGTTTAAACTGATCTGCAAGACGCTTGACTTACCTTAGACACACCTACAAGACCCCTGGTCCACATTTAAGACCTTTGACAGATCTTGAGGTCGTTTAGCCTTAAAACATGATCTTCGACGCACAGAAGTGCGAACATGTTGCACAGAAACTCCAAGACTCACCTTTAAGACATTTAGGCTTACCTTTAAGACGTTGAGAAGCTCTTCCCTGCTAAGAGACCCGTTCCTATCCAGGTCATACATGTTGAAAGCCCAGCGAAGTCTTTGAGCGGTCGTACCTCTCAGCAAAGCGCTCATGTTGCAGTGAAACTCTAAGACATCAGGCTCACCTTCAAGACATTTAGGCTTACCTTTAAGACGTTGAGAAGCTCCTCCCTGCTAAGAGACCCGTTCCTATCCAGGTCATACATGTTGAACGCCCAGCGAAGTCTTTGTGCAGTCGTACCTCTCAGCAAAGCGCTCATGTTGCAGAAACTCAAGACATACGCCTTACCTTTGAGATGTTTAAAGGTGTTTGACTCACCTTTAAGACATTAAGCAGCTCCTCCCTGCTCAGGGACCCGTTCCTATCCAGGTCATACATGTTGAACGCCCAGCGAAGTCTTTGTGCAGTCGTACCTATCAGCAAAGCGCTCATGTTGCACAGAAGCTCTAAGACTCACCTAAGACTCCAAGACTCACCTTTAAGACATTTAGGCTTACCTTTAGGACGTTGAGAAGTTCTTCCCTGCTAAGGGACCCGTTCCTATCCAAGTCGTACATGTTGAACGCCCAGCGAAGTCTTTGTGCAGTAGTACCCCTCAGAAGTGCACACATGTTGCACAGAAACTCAACTAGACTCTCCTAGACAAAGACTCACCTAAGACTCCAAGACTCACCTTTAATACATTTAGGCTTACCTTTAGGACGTTAAGTAGTTCCTCCCTGCTCAGGGACCCGTTCCTATCCAGGTCGTACATGTTGAACGCCCATCGCAGTCTCTGTGCAGTCGTGCCCCTCAGCAAAGCGCTCATCCCGCAAAGAAACTCCCGGAAGTCCACGGACCCGCTGCCATCACGGTCAAACGTACGGAAGATCTGCGTAGCCAGAGCCTTCTTCTTCTCCAAGTCGCCCCTCTTGTAGAAGTTGCAGAAGAAAGTCACGAACCTCTCTTCTCCCAAGACTCCTTCGGGACAGTCTTTGAGGAAGAGGCGGTACCATTGTTTGACCTCCAGCTCGCTGAAGTTGGTGACCCGAGTGAGTTGGCTGACCATCCGACGGGACTGTCGCCGCATCGGTCTCTGCATGCAACACCAGTCCGGCCACAGGTGCTTCGCAGGGACGCAGCCCATCTTAGGACTTGTTTAAAGTTAAAACCTTTGATCCAACACAATTTGACCAGTCACTCTGGTCTTCCTCAGTTGACGGACCCAGTGAGGCTTGTCATGTGGCTTCTTTGAAGTGTGACTGGTGCGTCTGGATCATTAGACAGAGGGTTCGAATCCCGTTTGGTGTTGTTCACAGGTGCTTGGCAGGGACGCAGCCCATCGTGGGGTCGTGTGGCGCAACGGCAGAGTCGGAATCAAGAGGTCCCGGGTTCGAGTCCTGACATGCCACCGATCTTGTGCCCTTGGGAAAGGCACTTTACACGACTTTCCCCACTAGACTCAAGTGAAAATGAGTATTGTCTGTTCAGTATTCATCCTACCACCGTTCTGGCCATGTATTCTTGAAAGAAACGCAGTTCATACTGGGTCTTAAAGTAAAGATGGAATGAAAGTCCTCAAGTAGAGTCCCTGTCTCTGGATCAGATGGCAGAGCATTCGGACCCCGTCTGTTGTCGCTCATCCGACTTGTATGCTACTGTAAATCTACTGCAGATCTGGTCATACATCCTTTGAAGAAACACAGCTCATACAAACACTGAAAGGCGTCCAGTGGATAGTGCCATTGCTTATATACATACAGATGAGAGGCTAGTAAGTTAAAATCCCGATTATTGTTGCTCATCCGAGTTATACTGACCTACTGGAAAACATCGCAGTCTTCGACAATGGACGTAGTGTACTGACAAGCCATGGTCCCCTGTCCATCGCGCTTGTCCAAAAGAGCAGGAGAATTTCTCCGGAACTTCAAGCAGCCTGTACTCTCAGTACACATAGCTCCCGACTTCCCTGTCATGACCAGTGGAAGACAAGCTTTTCAGCGAGCTAGACTGCACCTAGATACGAGATACGCGTCCAGTTGAGACAGCCATGCGCGCCCGTTGCTGGCTAAGAGCGAAGTGTCTCTCTCACGGCCGCACACACACAAACCGCTACATTCAAACCGCTACATGACTGACATATAAATAAATCCTGACGTCAGGACAAACCTTCTGCTGCCGCTTTCTCCATCCAAATACGAAGCCGTGCGCTCAGCTAGCCCAGCCGGTTCGGAATAGTAGATCATAGGCGCAAAGACAACATTATTCCCAGTCTTCTAACGATGCTTGCGTCAATGTGGGCACTTCAAATGACAGAAATGGTTTGCCGAGTCCCCTGGTCCTGCGTTCGCATGCATCCGTGTATGCATAGCCTGCCCGTCAAGTACTGTTAGCATGTAGTCATTTTTCAACGTCTTTCATGCGGTACAGTCGCCAGCTATAGCCTCAGTCAGTTCAGAAACGTAGATCATAGGCGCAAAGACAACATTATTCCCAGTCCTCTAACGTCGCTTGCGTCAATGTGGGTACTTTAGATGACAGAAATGGTTTGCCAAGTCTCCTGTTCCTACGTTCACATGCATAGTCTGCTTGTCAAGTAGTCATTTTTCAACGTCTTTCATACACAGGAATGGGCGTTGCGTCCTGCTTCGAGTCATTTTACACTGCGTACGTCATAGCAAGCGCCTCGGGCGACAGAAATAGCTATTCCCACTAGATGGGGGCCCGCATGCCCTTTTCCGTAGAGCGTAATCGGCCGTTTTAATTATACGTAGAGCGTAGACAGACCGCTCTAATGATTCAACATAGAGCGTAATATTGGCGCATTTTGCGTATTCGCCGTTTTGATTCTACGTTATGCGTTGTAGCCACTTGGACTTTATCGTAAAGCGTAATCGAGATGTTTCCCAATTCAGCTCTCACAATTTAGCGTAGAGCGTTTTCTGGAGCCCCCCATACAGACCGTCAAATACCTATTCCCATTCGAGGAGGCGAAACCCCTTCATTGCTTCAAACGTTAACGAGCAGCCTGGCGTTTGGCTCATTTCCGAGCTCTTTAGCATATTTCATAACCAGATCGTGAAAAGGCCGAGCCGTTGCCATGCATCATACGTAACAGACGTCACTGCATTTGTGCCGGAAAGATGTCAGATAGGCACGCGCACCATTTCCAGTTTGTGGCATATTTCATATCCAGCTAGCCGGATGTATATATATGTATATAGCCTCCGTAGCAGGCTTATAGAACTGTGGGTTTGGTGGTCTTCGGCTGTTTTCTGATTAGCCCAGTTCTAAAAACGGGGGTAATTCAACCAGGCCGGCTACGTTGTCTATATGCAATCAGAAAATAGCACATACAACCTCCCAAAGACCATGAAGACCCCCCAAACACCCAGCTTTTGGCATGCTTTGGAGGCTAATGTATATACATGTATTCGTCTTGTTACAATGTTCGCCACAGTCCGTTGACGTCAACGCATCACAAAGTTCCGCTGTCGCGCTGCAGAATTTCCGCCTTTTGACTCGACAACTAGTCTCTACCAGACTAACTACGCTGGATATGTATAGGAGTATATTTGCCAGGGGAGTTTGGCCGCCTTGTAGGTTTGACTGGCCGCGCAGTTAGGAGGGAAAGAAACTACCTCCCCGCGGCCGGACTCCCCTGGCCAATTTTACTCTTTTCTTTTTTGCCGAATTCTACGATCCATATTCCCATAGAAAGGCCTGGTGGGGGCTAGGTCGCTCTACCGCCGTCAATCATGATGAAAGACAGGACCGCGCACTACCATATTTGGTTACACTTCGAGTCGGCCGTCTATGATTGGATAGAAGTAGGGCGGATCGGGTTTCACAATTTCCCGCCACTGCGGTCCTCATCGCCTGATGACCCGAATATTGCTCAATTCTGTCACGGCCAGCAAGTTGTCACTTGGAAAATACACAGCCAGTGCACATGAATGTTTTCAACTTTTGTTTGTGTTTTGTTGCATTCTATATCATGTAGTAGTTTATGGTTTATTGGTAAAAACACGGGACAAATCGGCCTTGCAGTATACACTGAATTGCGCCGAATTTTACATACTCAATAAAACTAACACTGTAGGCTAATATAGTACATATACAAGTATATAAAAGTAACGTTCAATAATTGTCGACATGGTTTTCCACACTATAACTAGAGTTCCACGATCTCATGCCTTCGACAAATGATGTTAACCTTTACGACTGACAAATTATGAATGTTTCACATTGATTATCGAAATAATATCCTCACTTGCAATTATATCCTTTGATCATATTTTCCATCCAATGACAGTCTTATAATCTTAAACAAAGAGGGCTATTCTAGCATTTCCTCATAAATCATGCAAATAAGGTTCAGATTTGAATAAATTATGTTTAATACTGATCACCTTCACTTAACTTCCAAATGCAGCCAGTATGAAAATCCTGTCAGTAACCACTATTTCATTGTACTATTTATAGCATTTTTCTCATTATTTATGCAAATTAGGCCTTATTGACACCAAAAATTTGTGTCCCCAGCCTGTTTACATCATGAGCTATCAAAACTGCTTGACTGCATACCCCAGTTGATGTAGAGCTCAACGATTTGACCCACTTCCACATCTGTGTTTACACAAGGGCAGGAGAGTTACCAGCGAAAGGTCATGTCGGGTGCAAAACAAATGGAGTGTTCATAACAGAAATCAAATTCACGTAGCATTTTGTAGGCCGTTCTTGTCGATTGACTGTTATTGACACCAAATATTTGTGACCCCAGCCTGTTTACATCATGGGCTATCAAAACTGCTTGCCTGCCCCAGCCCCAGATAATGTAGAGCTCAAGGATGTGACCCACTTCCACATCTGTGTTTACACAAGGGCCAGAGAGGAACAACACCACTTGCATGTGGAGCTGACTGAGGGTTTATTTACAGTAGCTGGTGACCTGGGCAACAAAGAGGGCCTTTGTTTGTTCAAGGATTACAGGCATGACACTGATGAGTTTGCAATAGGGCATCATCCACATGAGACCAACTTCTGGGGGAGTCCTTTTGAACAGTTATATCCAAAAAGGCAGATTAAGCGCCACTTTCGCCAATTCCACAAGGATTCTGTTGTCCTAACAAAGAGGAAATTTTTTCCAGCTATCCTTGTGGGCATAAATCAATGTAATCCGTAGAAGGTGGGAACCAAAAAGGTCTACTGCACTATGGATGACATATAGATTTCTCTATTAATTAATCAAATTAAGTCATAATTTACATAATGAAAATCTCTTCCTCTTGATTACATATGCCACCTATTTTAATTGTTTTATCACAGAACCCAGCAAATATATAGACTTCTGTCATTAATTATGTAAATTAGATCGTAATTTGCAAAATATTCAGCAAATTAGGTCAAGCATCACTTAAGCTACCGAGATACCAAAAATAACAACAATCCGTCAACCGGTTCTTGAGCTATCCTACTTCAAACATTTTCAAACAAATGCCACTGCATTTGCCAAACAAGCTGCTACGGGGCCCAAACTTACGGCACTTCTTTCTGAGCACGAGAACTACCTACCATCTAAAAATCATGACCATAGCACGTCCATATCACGAGATTTAAAAACCAGAAGTTTCGCTGCAGTACTTTCTAATTCAATGACGTGGGGACCCCCCACGAAGCCCATATCCGAACTTGACCTTGGTATTGTCAATGGTAACTTGCCAACTAAAAAACATGAACATCCATTTAAAGATTCTCGAGTTATCTTGATGACAAGAAAAAACACAAAAAAACAAAGGTCAACTGCAGTGACATAGAAACCCCCATGGGGCCCATCTTCGAACTTGACCTCGGCATTCTCAACGGTAACTTGCCCACTAAAAATAATGAACATACATTTAAGGATTCTCGAGATATCTTGATGACAAGGAAAAAACACCAAAAACCAAGGTCAACTACAGTGACTTAGGAACCCCCCACGAAGCCCATTTTTAGCCTTGACAATGGCCACCCCCAAATCAACCTGCCTGCCAAAAATCGTGAACCTCGGACCTTGCCTTCAAGAGTTATCGTGCCTAATCTGCCAAACAGTGCAAACCCGATTTCATAACCTTCTCCGAAGGCATAGCCTTCAGTCGAAGGCAAATATAGCGTGGTGGTTCAACATCAAGGGTATTGAAAACAGCATTGTGTGGAATCGTTAAAGGTGAGACTGCTCTCGAATCAAATCAGTTCATAACAGTTCAGTTTACAGTCCATTGAGGAGTTTAGCTAACATTGGCTTCGCACTCGCGTTTGTTTCAAGCAATCTAGACGGGTCCCTAGTTGGGAACTGTGACCATAGGCATAACATTATAGAAGTACAATATTGATAATCTGCCGTCTCAAAACTCCGAATTAGTTGCCACAAGTTACACTGGCATCGAAACCGGTAGACATAACCGCACTCCCCTAGTCTAGAACAACGAATATGTCGGCACTGTGATCTAAGAAGAATCGAAGGTGAGAAACATTTTGTAATAGAATGTAAACTAGTTGGGAACTGTGACCATAGGCATAACATTACAGAAGTACAGCATATAATCTCTCGCTGTCAAACGCTAGCCTATACCAGACACCGAGGATCGCTGGAAAAATAGTAGAAATTGTCCGAAATAAAGGGATAGTATACCAGAAAAGATCCCTGGCCATAGAAGATCCGCGACCCATGGCCCGGGATCTTCTCTGGTATACTATCCCTTTATTTTGGCCAATTTCCACTATTTTTCCAGCGATCCGCGGTGCCTGGTAGAGGCTAGTCAAACGCCTGAACAGTGGAAGGGCTAAACTAAAGCGTGACTTGGTGAGGCTAACCATCGGCCGATGGCTTGTGACAGAATTGTGCACTATTCGGGTCATCAGGCGATGAGGACCGCAGTGGCGGGAAATTGTGAAACCCGATCCGCCCTGACGGATAGATACTTCTATCCAATCAGAGCGGCCCGACGCGAAGTCTAACCAAATATGGTAGTGCGCGGTCCTGTCTGTCATCATGACTGAAAATGACCAGAAATGGGCCAGTTAAGGCCACAGCAAGTAAATTTTATGTAAAATTAAGTCGGTATGGTCTTACAGAAGTACAATAATCTCTCGGTTTCAGACGCCTGAACAGTGGAAGTGCTGATAAAAGCTAAATCGTGACTTGGTCAGGCTAACCATCGGCCCACATTACCGTATCTCTTTGTAACAGCCCAGCAAAGATCGGGTCCTCTGGGTAGCCTGGTGTCCATGGGTCCAGTATATCGCGGTTTGGGGTAGTCTCTACCAGACTAACTACGCCATGTACGCTGGCTATATATAGGGGAGTTTGGCCGCCTTGTAGGATTGACTTTCCACAATCCTTCGGAGGGAAAGAAACTACCTCCCCGCGGCCGGACTCCCTTGGCCAATTTTACTCTCTTGGCCAAATTTTTGCCAAATTCTGCGATCCGTATTCCCGTAGAAAGGCCTGGTGGAGGCTAACACAACCCAACCATATCTATCTGTAACAGCCCAGCGGAGGTTGGATTTTCTATCGCTGACGTCATTGCGATGGCCTCCGGAGAAGTGGCCACCGGACCGAAGCAGAATCTCAGGCGGTTCGACTCGCCATATTGCGCCCGTATGCGCTTCTGCATCTATCGGCGAAAAGATAACATGAGGCGACGCCGATTTAGTTCGTCGTTTCTCGGTTATCTTGAAGTAAAAAAAAATCAACAAGATTTATGTAACCCATATTGTTATTTTGATATATATTCAATTTTCATATATTCAAGGTCCACGGCCATCTCCTGACATAACTACATTCTACTCACTTTAGTACCTCTAGCTCTATGCTTAGAAGTGGCCAAAAATAATTGGCCTTGCATTGAGCGACACCGATAAAAAAAATTAGTTAATGTATCATTCTTTGCTTGTTCGTTGTTTGATAGCGGTGCAATAAATTAGATGTAAATAAATTAGGTGTGAAGTAATGATTAATGATTAAGAATGATAATGAACACAGCGAAAATTAATTAAAGAAAATTAAATACCTTCATTGCCTCTGCAATATTTTTTGGACATTTATAAAGAAATTTTTGGATCGAATCGAATCTGACAATGTTCCCTCACTGTAAACGTGTGTACCTACGGTAGCACCCGTCGTGCCTAGTTATTTGTGGCAGAAACTTTTTTTTAATTCGACATTGACCTTCCAATTCAGCATTTTTGTTCCCAAATCTGATACGCGAGTCCCAACAAATTGAATTTTCGTGACCTCGCTTCGTTCAGGTCAGCAAAACCGGCTTACGGCGCCATCGCCGCTGTCAAAATCTCAGTCAGCGGTAAGGCTAGCGTAACGCGCCCCTGGCATAATGGCTCTAACGTTAACGCGCGGCATAGAAGCAAGATAACCAGATTGTGTCCTTGCGAAAGGCACTTAACACCAATTTCCTCGCTCGACTGAACAGAAAATGAGCACCTAGCTTCGATGAGCTCTCCAAACAGAGTTTTGGGCTTCGACTTATTTTTGACGTGTTTTAGGCGTTTTATAGGGCTTGTTTTTGTCGGTATATGTTGTGTTTTTTTTCTAGTTTGCTTTTGTTAGGTGCGCACTGCTATAACACTAATTTCCTCACTTGACTGAACAGAAAATGAGCACCTAGCTTCGATGTACTCTCTAGAGGTTTAGGCTTCGACTAGGGTCGTTGGGATTTTGCTAGCCTCCATAGCATGCCAAAAACTAGGGATGGGGGGGGGGGTCTTCGTCAGCTTTTATGTGCTGTTTTCTGATTGCATATATACAACATAGCCGGCCTGGTTGAATTACCCCCGTTTTTAGAACTGGGCTAATCAGAAAACAGCCACCGAAGACCGCCAAACCCCCAGTTCTATAAGCCTGCTAAAGAGGCTAGGGTTTTGCTAAAGTTGGTCGGGAAACACAACATCATATTTCCCAGGCCTGAGTTTTGAGGTAGACACTTGTCTTCAGGCGATCCATTTCGTTCAACCAAAAGGGATTCATGGAGACTCAAAGCTGAAGAGAGAGCGCGATAGAAATAAATTCGATAAAAAAATAAGTCAAATCGCGTAGCATATAGATGCCCCAAATCCACAAACATGGTTTATTATGATAACTGAACAGTTTAAAATTTAAAGCTCAATCCCCTACCTGAAATTTAACCTAAGGTAGACGTTTGGCACCAGATGTGCATTGGTTATGGGTACAACAGCAGTAATTTAGAGAAGGTTAGCAGTAATAAAGGACCATTGCCGCTGCTTTGACCAGTGCTGGCATCTTTCTCTTTATCGCTAAAGTGCCCGAAGCCATCCGTAACTGTGGGATAGCAATCTGTTTGAGTACGTCGTTGTAAGTAGAGTTATTTTAGTTACAGGGCAAAAACTGCAGTAAATAACGTTAACCTTTAAACAAAATGCTCCAATGATTACACTTCATTTTTTTCAGTGATAAAAAATACTAATCTTTACAATAATTTGTACAACACTATATGTATGTATATAATACAAGCCCTGTTTTCATATTCTGCTTGCATTCTAGCACTATCTACCACCAGAGGGCCTGAGCCCATCCATATCTACTGAGATACTATCCACTAGGAGAACCATATGTCATGTTAAAGTCAAAAACACTGCGATATACAACCTCTAACCTCTAAAGCATGTATTCTCCCACAGGCGTTTTCGTCTTGTCGTTTTTCCTTCTAATCTCCAAGCAGATCCCTTTCGGTGGCAAAAAGACAGTATGAATTTGGCCAGGCAGTATCCATTAGCAAGAGGAGGTCGCCCGCCACCGATGGGGGTAGCGACAAAAAAAAAACGGCCATATATATAAAAAGCTAACGATCATCCCCCCAAAACCTCTGCTTGGAGAGTATTTTCTTCAACGTTCTTAGAGGTTGTTGGAATCAGGCCAAATTTGGGTAAGTCCCAATTCATTGCAGTGTTGGCAGATAAAGTCTAGTCCTCATTTCATAATGACTTGAACCAACAACACAGATGAACTCTCATGCAACGTTTTAGAGATTGATGTTTTCTGAGTAATTTTTCAGGTTAATTAGTGTCTACTTTCTAGGTCTTCACTTGCTGTGGCTAATTGATGGATGGAAGACTTGTTAAGTGGCGACGTTTAGAACTTAATGGGTAACGTATTTATCGTGTCAAGTGATGGAAGACTTGCTTAGTGGAGATCTGGAGGAGATTTATTTGTTCTGAGTAGTTTGTTGGGTTAATTGTTACGTTCTTTCTCGGCGCCTGTTCTGGCTAATTAAAGGAATTCGAAGTCCTGCTCAGTGGTGATTGAAGATGTTTTTGTAGTTTACTGATGGAAAATCATTTTGTCGAGTTTTGTGCCAACGTGAGTTTCTCTAGTTCATCGATGGTACTCACTCAATCCTCTTCTGAATCTAGTGGTTCTTGAGGCGACAGGAAGGATTTCCATCTGGCCCTATTTGTAGCTGCGTCCGGGGCTGTGTCCAGAGTCAGTCCCTTCTCTTTCAGGTCCCCCTGTATTGTTCCCATCCACGTTTTTTTGGACACCCTCTATTTCTTTTTCCTGTTGGTTACCATGTTAGGGCACCTCTTGTTATCGAGTCTGGGGATACGATAGACCAACATCTACGTCTACAGTTTTGACTTATTAGTTTCATGAAACTGTAGCGTCACCTGTACCAGATTCTCATACACCTTCCTGACCTGAAACCTCAAAGTACCCGGACTCTCTTCCCAGGAGTCTACACTCAAAACATCGCCCTCTAGCGATTCCTTCTGGTACAGCACCGAGACTTTCCGCACCCCCTGTTTTAAAACGTCCCCCCTGACAGTGGGATACGCCCCCTGTCTCGCCCCCACAACAGCACAGTCAAAGCAGTACCGAATGTAGTGCCTCTGGTTGGTGTGGTTGTTCAGGTCAATGTCGCTAGGCGGCACTGTGACACTGTAAACAAAAGTCTTGGCGGCGGGCGGCTTTTCGAAAACCTCCGCCATTTCCGGACGCGGCTCTGATGTCAGGTGCAGGTAGTTTTCCTTCAGCCAATCAGGAAACGGTGTTGGCCTTCGTGTGTCCATGCTGATGAGAACATCTTGTACCATCCCCTTAACCAAGATCTCATTTGTGGAACGGTCAACGATTTCGCCTTTCTTAACGAAGGACGTATTCCCCACGTAGACCACTCTTGAGGAGACTTTAAGAGGCCTGCCAGGCCTGACGACGCTGTAGAAAGACGGGCTGATTTCCCAGACCTGACAGCGAGTAAACACTCTCATATCGGGACGCGCTAGATTGGCGTCTAGAGCGGCGACGGCGAGAAAGGACAGCCAGTCCGCCCGGTCACATAGGGTCCAGACAGGTATCTGGCCTGCGGAAAACAACAACAGCATAAAGTCATAACTAGAAAGGTAACATTTGCAAAGTAAAGGCATACTGTTTACCTTCGCATAATCTGTCAATTCTTACTCAAAGACATTCACATTGATGGTCAGACAGGAGTCTAAATCCCTCCTGCTATAAAATTGCAACATGATGTAACCCAACACAAGTCTGAGTCTGATATGGAGACTAGGAACTGAATAAGGCACTTAACATGACTTTCCTCACTCCAACCAGGTGTACCAAAAAAAAAAAAAACAACTCAGGTACATGTATAAGTACAAGGCAGTGTGGAGGGAGATGCCGACGGAAAAGAAAAAGAAGGATACTATTATAGTAAATGCCTGACCTCCTATTTCGAAGTCCCATCGGTTAAAGCTGTAGTCAAAACTCACAGTCCGCCTGTCTTCGCTGAAAGTAAAGCTTGGTCCTTCCTTCCACAGTGAGTCCATAGCTTGGTTGTCAGACCTACGCACAGAAGAAAACAGATTCAAGCACACCCGTGGTTTTTAAGACAGAGAAGACCGCACACGGTTTTCCGTGGACTTCGGACTTTTCTGGCAGTACAGGCTGGTTCGACCCCGAGTTCAAGGTTCACAAGTCAGGCTCATTTCGATATTGGGGTGTGGCTGATATATTCCTCTTCCATTTATAGTTAAACCTGCCCCAAACGGCATACCACCTGGCCAAAACGACCACTTGTTCCCCGGCCCCGAACTTGTTCCATGCAAAAGGCCACCTGGCCAAGAAGACCACCTGGCCAAGAAGACCGCTTTACCTCACTCCCCAGGGTGGGCAACTTGGGAAATTGTCTTGATTTCAATTTTGCAAAGCTCCCATGAGAGCCTTAGCTATCCCAGCGGTATCAGCAAAGTCCCCAAGAGAGCCTCCCAGCGGTATCTGCAAACCCCCCATGAGAGCCTCAGCTGTCCCAGTGGTACAAAATGTATTTGCAAAGCCCCTATGAGAGCCTCCCAGTGGTATCTGCAAATCCCCCAAGGGAGCCCCAGCTGTCCCAGTTGTATCTGCAAACTCCGCATGAGAGCCTCAGCTGTCCCAGTGGTACAAAATGTATTTGCAAAGCCCCTATGAGAGCCTCCCAGCGGTATCTGCAAAGCCCCCAAGGGAGCCCTCGCTGTCCCAATGGTATCAGTAAATCCCCCAAGCGAGCCCCCGATGTCCTAGTGGTATCAGTAAATCCCCCAATCGAGCCCCCGCTGTCCCAGTGGTATCAGCAAATCCCCCAAGGGAGCCCCCGCTGTCCCAGTCCACTGGTCTGCAGGAATGTCCCGTCAGGGCCGTCCCATGATGCCCCGCGCGGACAGGTCCCATCGGGAAGAGTCAAGATGGCGGAAGGGGGCCGGGAAGCGAAAGGCGGGGTCTTCGCGAAGAGCATCAAACGGGCCACGCGCGCCAAGGAAAGGGTGAGTACTCGTCTTAAAGACGCAGGAGGTAGAAGACGTCTTGTGCGATCTGGGGATGTAAAGGAATGCGTGGGTTAGGAGGACTTAAGGTGAAAAAAACGGCCCGGAGTGTCGGAGTGACAGCGTCGCGTTGATGAAAGTTGATGGATTTTTGAGCTGTCAGGTGTTTTTGGGTGTGTGAAGAAATTCTGCGATCTCAGATCCACATTTCCTTCCCTTCACACCAACTTTAGCAGACTCCTGTACCCAACCCGAGCGGTCTGACCCGAAAAATACGAAAACCGGGCGCGATTTTACCCCTTGGTGGTAACAGAAGGGAATTTTAATAGCGAGTTGTGGGGCGAGTTTTTGGTGTGTGAGAACAGGTTCGTACACGGTTGGGTGCCTGACTAAAGCCTGGGTACCCGGGGGCGATCTGCACACACACTGCACAAAAATGTCGCCTGCCCACGGCACATTTTTCTCCCTTTAAACCTGCTGCTTCGCTGCACTCTGCGCGTTCCGTACGCTCGAGTATTGTTTGTTGTTGTTGACGGTGTAAGTTATAGTCCCGAGTTTTGTAGCCTCCGTAGCAGGCTTATAGAACTGGGGGTTTGGTTTAGTGGTCTTGGGCTGTTTTCTGATTAGCCCAGTTCTAATAAAAACAGGGGTAATTCAACCAGGCCGGCTATGTTGTCTATATGCAATCAGAAAATAGCATATAAAAGATCCCAAAGACCCTGAAGACCCCCCAAAACCCCCAGTTTTTGGCATCCTGTGGAGGCTAGGAGTTTTGGTGGATGTGTCTGTACCAGGACACCTGTACGTACCTGTATGTCCACTCCCACTTTTCTCACCTGGTGATGATTGTTGTTGTCTTGAAGCCACCTTTGTGAATCGTGGGCGTCACAAAAACTGTTTTTGTCAACAAGGAGAGGAAATTGAGGCATTATCACGAGCAATGTGCAAGTTATTAATAAAATAAGTTCCCCAAAGGTTTAATCATTATACACTGTATATAGGTATTTCTGTGCCCCATTTACTTTGTTTACTGTTGAATTTACAGGAAGTATTAGGATTAGACAACTACATTCTTTTTCAATTAAAATTGCTAGAAAAGTAGAAGTACTACTTGCATGTTTTGACAGTGATAAAGTACACTAGTTCTGATATAGTGATAAAGTTTTGTCCATGTTTTTGTATATCTGTAAAGTTACATTTTTGCCATAGTAGTTACTAGTACACTCCAGCAATTTTTTTCTCTCTCACAAAATGATTGTTCATGTTGGTGTTGAATTTCTTTGCTAGGATATTGACAATTTCCTGCACATTTGATTTTTGAAGCTGTATCGACTCATTTCCTAAGTGTTTCTGAGACATTTGTAACTGAAAACTGAAGCAACTTTATAACAGAGGAATGTAAGGAAAGCTTAAAAATCTTAATATGAATTATAATTCACTCTCTCTAGCCAAGGTACAGACTTTCGCTCAGACACATGATGATTTTCCAGGTCATTTTTTTCTATCTGAGAGCTATTTAATATGTTTGTCCTTGTGTAAGTGTCCTTCAATGTCAGAAACATGAAATAGTTTTGGTTTGGCCCAAGAACACTTAAATCTCACTGTAATTGTAACTCCTCTCTCTAGCCATGTACTGACTATTCCTACATACTTTTTATTCCTATTGACCTCCTGGCTTAGATTTCCTTTCATTCTTAGCAACCAACAAACCAAAATAATTAGACATGTGTCCTGAAAAACAAGAACTAGCTTTAGTTTGGACCAAGAAGTGCTGCATTTATCAGGTAACCTTAGCATGACCTTGAACCAAGGATAAACTTTGGTCCGACATACCTGACACATAATCTGCATTCCAATCTCACAAATAAGTCTCAGGGTGCAGTTTGTTTTTCCTTGAAAATGCCACTTAATTACCTGTACATTCAGTACATGTTTTTGTTATTTTGTGTAAAGTCACTCCAATTTAATTTCTTTCTTTCTTAGTTGGTAAGAAGATCACGTTTTATTGTGCTAACACAAAAAACTGTCTAATGCTAATAACAGTCTAAGGAAAAAACAGTTTGTGTTGGATTCAAGTTTTTATGTTGACATCCTGAAATATTACAATGTAATGTCCAATAACCAAGAAAATGAATTGATATGGCCCAATGTACAAATATGATACCATAACTCTGCAGTTTATGTCAACCTGACTTCGCAAACTTGAATTCATCATAGCTGACATTCCTTGGGAGCCTAATCTAGTGTCACATCTCTGTTTATTAAAGGCATCCGATGTGATTTCAGGGCAGAAAAACTGGAAATATTCTGAATAAGGCAATCTTTGTGATATTGACACATACTGATTCACATTAACACATTTGAGTCAGTATTTCATACTTTGGGCTTTTAACGCTGCAGAAACAAGCCCCAAGATGAGTCCTTTAATTTCTGGGTGGTACCCTTAAAATCATCCCAGGGCCCTTCTAGTAACCATTTTCCATCAGAATGTTGGGTATTTTTGCTCCATGAGGGTCAAATAAAATCTTGTTTCCAAGCCCTAAAAACTTCACTGGATGCCTTTAATTAAGGCTCCTTCATATGTCTAAACACCAGCCTAGGCTGATATTCAGTTACCAGACCCATAGCACACTGGACACAAACTATATTCAGTAGATTCATGTTCATTTTATAACTTCTGAGTTCTGACCATAGTCATCACAGTTAATGAGTTGAAATTTCCCCATACGTCACTATTATTACGTGCGTGACTTCTTGTCACAAGTTCTGTTTTCAGGGTCAGGGTCATGTTGGGTAGCTGGCATTAATGTTTTATAGCAAGGACAAAACATTCAACGAACTGGTATGTTAATTATGCTGGGACCAAATGTATTCAACCTTGTATTGTGTCATGAAATCAAGAGAAATTTCATGATTACTCTTCAGTTTTGGTCTGACGATTATGATGCTACATTCGAATGTGTTTCAACAAATTATGAAAAATGACATGCAGAAGCCCTCAGTTAATTATTCAAGCAATGTTGTCAATTTGGAAGGACAAGTTGGAAATGCAGAATAGAACTCTACCAAGTTCTAGAAGTAGACAAAACCTCTGTTAATTTTGAAAAAAAAAAGTTTTCAATTTTGATATCAGTTGAAAATGTAGAGTAGAAATCTACCATAGTACCAAGCTTTATATTAAGTAGATTGAAGCTTGGTCCTTCAAATCTTATTACAGTAGTGAAAGTACTTCCAGCAACAAGTTGTTCCATCCCTGGGCTTTTAGGTTAATTAATTTGTCGCCAATCCCTGCAGATGACCAGATTTGATATGACCAGAGGACAGAAAAGGACAGGATATAATCCATTAAAGTACCTGCACAAATTAGCCATCAAATTCCCAGTCAATCAGTAATGACAGGGATTGAAATCAATTTTTGGGAATAATAAAGCTAGAAAATGTAGGTGCAGGTTTCGAATGCACAACATAAGACAATTTTTGTCAGCAAAGCTATTACCAATATGCATATGACTGACTAACTTGAATCAGGAATTCTATAGCAAACTTTTATTTAAACAAGAACAAAGGTTTTCATATTTTCACACTTCATTGTCAGGAATATACTTGTATATTTATTTGTCTACAATATATATAGACTATTATACTATAATTAATAGTAGCCTTAAACCTACAAAAGTACAATATCTAGGTGCAGCCACAGTCAAAAATTAGGTGCACAGCTCCAATTTTGGGTAGTCGTGTACACAAAAGTATAATAAACACCAGTATTTCTAGCCTCCATAGCATGCCAAAAACTGGGGGGTTTGGGGGGTCTTTGGGAGCTTATATGTGCTATTTTCTGATTGCATATAGACAACATAGCCGGCCTGGTTGAATTACCCCCGTTTTTATTAGAACTGGGCTAATCAGAAAACAGCCGAAGACCACCAAACCCCCAGTTCTATAAGCCTGCTACGGAGGCTAATCAGAAAACAGCCGAAGACCACCAAACCCCATTCTATAAGCCTGCTACGGAGGCTACAGTATTTCTAGCCCAGGCCAGGTATGAGTATTGTTGATGAATCACCATGCCAGTAGTCTGAAAGCTCTGATTGTAGATCTGTCCAGGATCGCCCCTGGCAGAATTCCAACACCTGCATTCCTCTCAAATTCCGATTCAGAATCGCTCCTGAACCAAACCTGCAATTTGCATGCTCTAATCACCGACTCCAGCCTGCAAAATGTCGCGTGTAACGCTATGGCTTGTGCTGAGAATTTTCCCAGTTTTATTCGAGTCTTCTAGAGCCCTCGTGTACATTTTCCTAGCCTCCGTAGCAGGCTTATAGAACTGGGGGTTTGGTGGTCTTCGGCTGTTTTCTGATTAGCCTCCGTAGCAGGCTTATAGAACTGGGGGTTTGGTGGTCTTCGGCTGTTTTCTGATTAGCCCAGTTCTAAAAAAAACGGGGTAATTCAACCAGGCCGGCTATGTTGTCTATATGCATTCAGAAAATAGCACATAAAAGCTCCCAAGGACCAGGAAGACCCCCAAAACTCCCAGTTTTTGGCATAATATGGAGGCTAACTTTTTCCAGTGTCATGAGGCTTGCCCCCGGCAGATAACACATGTTTGGTGTGTTTGTTGTGCAAATAAACCCTCCATTCCTGCCATTCCTCACCAGCCAGGCCCCGGCAGACAAATATATTCAAAACAACCCACGGTATTTTTGGACGCACGAAACTCGCTGTTCAAACTGTTCTCCGAAATGAAACAAAGATGTTTGCAGTTTGTTTAAATGTCTGTGAACCCATACAGAAGTTGTGTATGAATATAGAGATAGCTATAAACCAACAGGTTATCTATTGCCTACAGGTGACAAAAAACAGGAACTATGTTGTACATGCATGTACCAGTGTGGCTGCTGACAACTTAGTGCCCCTCCCTCTAGTTTTAGCCCTTGCTGTTCAAAAATTCAGGTTAGAATGAAAGAAATATGTCTGTAGTTTGTTTTAATGTCACTGAACCCACATAGAAGTTTTGCGTGACTACAGAGTTAACTATAAGCTGGCATGTTGTGTATTGCTTACAGGTGACAAAAAACAGGACTATGTTGTACATGCATGTACTGGTGTGGCTACTGACAACTCAGTGCCCCTCCCTCTAGTTTTAACCCTTGCTGTTCAAAAATTCAGACTAGAATGAAAGAAACACATCAGTAGTTTGTTTTAATGTCACTGAACACACACAGAAGTTTTGCATGACCACAGAGTTAACTATAAGCTAGCATGTTGTTTAAATGCTTACAGGTGACTCACAGAAGTAAGAACTGCCGGTATGTTATGCATGTACCAGTAGTGTTGCATGTTATGACAACAAGTAAACATAAGGAACCTTGCTGTCAGAAAATTCAGGCATGCTGTTAGAATATGCAGCTAGATATGAAAGAAGGTGTTTTTGTCAGGTTGAAAATCAGAGCTGTGTTTGGTAGGCCACACCAATTTAATTATTTGTTTCACAGATTCGCCTTGTCCATTTATTCTGATTTGCAAAAAGAAAAAAAAAATTCTGCAAATCAACTGCAAAATGCTCAATGAAAGACATATTTTGGCCCCACTTTGACTTTGTGACATCACAATTTTTGCATCCCAGGTACAGGATGGATAGGGTGGTCAAGCGCAATGTTTTCATTAATGAGTTATAATGTAGGCTGAAAGACATGTAGCACTAGACTAGTATGGCTTCTCTGTCCCTCCCCCAGTTGTATTGTTGTCTGCCTAAGGCCACACATACAGTATTTGTGTGATGCCGTGACTTTATATTGTAGTCTGTAGTAGTGTCATGTTTTGGATCACTTTGTAGAAGCTTTTAGTCATCAAAGTCCATCAGTCTGAACTAAGACTTGCACGCAACATGCAGGGAGGAGTTAAGCCAGGTGGTCATGCAATTTGGATGTACGGCAATCAGAGATGGCAGACTTCACCCCCTCTCTTGCAACACTGTATAATGTTATGTATATTACAGACACAAACACAGACATGCACAGACAGACACACACACACACAGACACACATACACACTCTCTCTCCCACACACACGAACACAGACGCGCACACACAAACACACACTCTCTCTCACACACACACACATGAACACACACGCACAGACACATACACACACACACACACACGAACACACACACACTCTCTCTCACACACACACACACACACACATGAACTCACACAGACACACACACACACTGACAGACACACACACACAGACACACACACAGGCACACACACATACAGACACACACACACAGGCAAACATACTAGTACTACATGTAACACACACACACACACACACAAATTATTCAGACAGACAGACAGAGATTCAGACAAGTCCCTAAACAATACTTCACTCCATTAAGTAAGTAAAATGTTAAACACACTGATTTGGACCTGAATAGACACATGTAGGAGCAGACAAGGTGAAATGAAGTGAGTGTAAGAGAGAATCACAAATTGAATATAATGGACTGGTTACTAGTACATAGTGATGGGCTGTCCAAATGATCATTTACTTATTTCTTCTGATTCAAGAATATGGCCAATTGCACAACAAATTAAAGTTAGACATATAGAAGATAATATATAGGACATGTACCTTTTTTGTTTGTTTGTCTAGGCATCCTATTATAGCCCCAAATGCTTCGATAGGAGCAATGAAGTCAACACAAAAGGCTGAGTTTAAATTTAAACAATGAATTACTACTATGAACTTTTAATCAAACCACTGCATTGATATATGGAAAAAACTGTATCAACTAGGAAGTACTAGAACATGCCTGAAAAAAAGTATTTTGAGCCCTAGCCTGTTACTTGTCATTCAAGCTTCTTAGAACTGCAGCACCCTCACCCACAGCCTACAATCTACACAGCACAGCAAATAACAGATATTAGTAGAAAATGTGAAGAGGTATAATTAAGTTCGAAGGTTAGAATCCTTTCCCTGTTATTTCTAGCTCCAGGTTGCTCCTCTAATCGCTTTTCAACTATGTCAATAAGTCAGAGGAAATGGCTAAATGTGTCTCAAACAAATGGACAGTTGTTGACGAAGGTTACACATCCAAGTAATGTCTAACAAGGAAACAGTTACTCAAGCAAGTCATGAGATCTTAAAGTCTAAAATTCTGTCCAGTTGTAATTGTTTTATTGTATAAAACAACAGTTGGTTTTAGAATAAGGCCACAGCAAGTAATTTTTATAGATGACATCAGCGCGCGCATTAATTTTCGCCTGATTTTGGAAAAAAACAAGAAATTTTGTTGCCTTCTGACAGTGGTCAACATGCCGGAAGTATGTGCAAAGATGTCTGTTGCCATGCCGGAATGTGGATGGCAGATAACTACATGTATGAAGAGTGGTGTATATATAATATAATCTTATATTATAGCTAATTTTCTTTACTTCTCTTTGCTGCAGTTCTTACAGAGTATCGGCAAAGCGGAAAAGTCGGAAAAAGACGAGACGTTCGAAGATTATGTCGGCAATTTCAACAACCAACAGGTAAACTTTTTAACTTCATCCGTTCAGCAAAGAAAATTCACTGAGTTTTTTTTTAACAGAGTAGTTCAATGCAAGGCCTATACGACCACTTCTCGGCATTGAACTAGAAAGATGAGAGAAACATGGCTATTTCAAGAGATGGCGGTGAACGTTTGATTTGAAAGTCTTTAGATTGTAGGTTGGTGGGAAACACTTGTCAGGGAGGGAATTCCAAAGCTTGGCCGTACGAGGAAAGAAACTGTCACTGTAAAAAGATTTCAAACAAGGAATTTGGATGGGGAGTTAGCAAGATACTGTATAAGAAGATTCTTTGTACAACAAGTTGTTTCAACTCTTTGTCTGCTCAGTGCTTTACACCTTTGAAACAATATTTTCACATTTTTTGTTCCAGGCAGCTGCAGTCAAACTCCAAAAGGAGCTGAAAAACTATGCAAACAGTGTAAAAGGTGAGCTGGACAATGTGATAAATGCTGATAGTGAATAATGTACATATGCATAGCGTTTGTTTTCTCTGTTACGACCTGTACAGGGTTCTAGCTACATGTAGGATTTAATTTTAGTGTAGTGGCACTAGCCGCATGTCGAGGGAACAAAGCGACCAAGAGGGGAGATGGGGGGAAGGGGGGATGTGCCACTCTTCCGTGGTGCGGAGCTTTTAAAAATTGGAGCTAAAAAGTGGCCATTTGAGGGATACCCAAAGGGAAAAAATGTTATGTCTAAGGTATGTACAATGTATCCTTGATTGGTAATTTTTCACATTCGATTTGGCATTCTTGAACAAAGCATATATGTAGTGGAAGGATAACCGATAGATTTATTGAGATGACTTTTCTATTCACATGTTGTATGTTCCCTGCAGCAATGTCACTAGCCAGCAAAAACCTGAACGATGCGTTGAGTGAAGCGTACGGCGACGATTGGCCAGACAAGGATGAGGTAAGGAACACCCAGGACGTTTTATTTATTAGGGTTACTTTTAACCCTTGTCCTGTGGGACCCATATATATATGGGTTGCACATCCAGTACCATCTATATAGCACCCAGTATATGGGGGTATTTCTTGTGCAACGCATCACACAGCAGCGAAATGCAACAAATGCGGAAGTAACTACGCCACCGCAGGGCAACAGAAGGGTTTATGAGCTGGCCAAGGCTTCAAATTATTTGAAAATATTGTGTAAAAATTGTCAGCAGGACAAGGGTTAACAGTGTACAAAAGATTTTTTTTGAACCAGGTTGTCCAGTGTTTGAACAGTTTAATTCTAATGTGTTTTACCAACAGAATGATGAACTTTTATGCTTGATCCAGTTGCTTTAAGTAACAGTTTTTTGCGTTGATTTGCAGGTCCGTAACTTTGAACAGCAACCATTTATTTTTATGAGCCAACGTTTCGGTGACCGTCTGTCATCTTCATCAGGGCAATTCTGACTGGATTACTGTGCACTGACGCTAGATGTTACTTGGTGCATAGTGCACTAAAGGTGTTACATAGTTCACAGTTGAGTAACAGTTTTTGCGTTGATTCGCAGGTCCGTAATGCCCAGGACAGTATGGACCTGCTGTGGTCAGACTACCAGGAGAAGGTCACGCGAGAAGTCCTGTCACCGGTCAACACCTACCAGAGCCAGTTTCCTGAGGTCAAGGTCAGTCAAGGGCAAAGTGTACTTGGTCAGAGGTCAACGTCAAAGTGGACTGGTACAAGCATTGTTTAAAGCTGTCTAGTGATGATACTGTACTTGTACTTGGTGACACCGAGTTCCAGTCTGCGATAGTTCTAGGAAAAAATGAATTTTTGAACACCTCAATCCTTGGTTGATAACTCTGGCACTTGAAGGCATGATGATTTCTTGTTCTTTTCTGAGCTGGTATTAGTTACTTAGTAGCTGGTACTTCCACCAGTTTTTTAGTAATTTTGTACATCATGGAAAAAGAAGTCGAGGTCATCCAGCAAGAAACTATATTAGCCAATTAATGGACGACACCAAGCTCGACAGGAAAAATCTGATGGTAGAACTGAAGGATAGGAAGAGATGGAAAACAGTCATTGGAACCGAGGGAAGCTTGACCCAGTGAGTGAGAGTTAGAGTGAGTGAGTACATCATGCACTGAGGCTGTTAAACATGTCCCTCCGCAGCAAAGGATAGCAAAGCGTGGGAGAAAGCTGGTGGACTACGACGCAGCCAAACACACGCTCACAGCAGCACAGCAGTCCAAGAAGAGAGACGAAGCAAAATTACACAAGGTAAGATATCAATGTTTTTACATTTCACCCATACTATAGTATGGGAGCCATGCTCAGGCATGGTGGTTCTGGATAGTCAAATCTACGTTCTTGGTTACGCAGACACTACCCAGAACCGCGCCTGATCCTAACCCTAACCCTATCAGGCATAGAACTAGACAGGCATGGTTCTGGATACAACAGAGACTATCCAGAACCGCGCCTGATCCTAACCCTAACCCATTCAGGCATAGAACTAGATAGGCACGGTTCTGGCTACAATAGCGACTATCCAGAACCGTGCCTGATCCTAACCCTAACCCATTCAGGCATAGAACTAGACAGGCATGGTTCTGGATACAACAGAGACTATCCAGAACCGTGCCTGATCCTAACCCTAACCCATTCAGGCACAGAACTAGACGGTTCTGGATACAATATAGAGACTATCCAGAACCGTGCCTGATCCTAACCCTTACCCATTCAAGCATGGAACTAGACAGGCACGGTTCTGGCTACAGAAGAGATTATCCGTGACCTCTTTGTGACCTCTGTGTGCCCTCTGACCTTTGCCCCAGGCCCAGGACGAGTGTCAGAAGGCGAAGAAGGTTTACGACGACGTGAACAACGGGTTGATGGAGGA